GGATAAACCAAACACTGGCTCTAATTGGGCTGTTCGCCTTTTCAACGTGTTTCTCCATCACACTTGGAAGTTGGACTTTAACTTGTTTTGGTTGTTTTTTAAGGTTCATTCTGCAGCTATTCCTTGAAGTGCTTCCATGGTATATTTAAGTGAAATAACTCTTCAGATGTGAAGTTAATTAACTTAAGTAGTCATGACTTTAACCTTTCAACACTTAATAAATATACTTCTTTGGCAGTTGGGGTGTTTTAAATAAATGATGTGGTCTGCTACAGCCGGCAGAGCGGAGATCATAACCAATTTTGTGTAAGTTGCTGAATGTGTTGTTTTTACTGATCCAATGAGAGGGCAGTTAATTGCTTGTGGGTCTGATTACTTAGCTTCATTCAATTTGCCCATTCCCCTGAGCTCCAGTACACATTAGTGATGGCTTATTGTGGTGGCCTGTGGTTCTGACAGCTTGTGTGCAGGTCTCTCTCTGTGCTGAGCCAAAATCGTAATCAGAGACACTGAACGCAGACAGATTGAAGGCTGGATTGATGCATAATGCAGCACCTGTTCAATCTGCAGGCGCTGGGTTGATACTGTATATATGCATATTTAGAGAGAGAGAGATAGATGATAGATAGATAGATAGATAGATAGATAGATAGATAGATAGATAGATAGATAGATAGATAGATTTTTTTGTGACTTCTCTATTCAAAGTTATGTTAAAATGTCTGACATGTTCTGAGAGATGTGTTTTGATTTTCTCCTCCACACTTAATTTCTCATCTGTCTGGATTGTGTTCTTGTCTCCACAGCGCTGTCAACAAGCTGTTATTTGTCCCTGCATCATGGAGGCTCAGCCTGATGCATCATGGGAGCTCATCAACGGCGTGACAGATACAATATATGAGGGCTGAGAGGTCGTCATGGAGACTGACAGCTACACCCCAGGCCCAGACACCACAGACTGGGCTGGGACGGTGGCCGGCCTGGAGGGAATGGGAGTCCTTCAGGAGGAGGGAGGAGGGGGCCCGGCATCCTGGTACATGCCATACTCACTGGGCTTCCAGGTGTCGCTCACCGCCTTCCTCATGCTGGAGCTGGTGTTGGGTTTCAGCAGCAACCTGACGGTGCTGGTGCTCTACTGCTCTCAATCCAATTTAGTGGACTCGGTGAGCAATATGGTGACTGTCAATCTGCATGTGCTGGATGTGGTGGTGTGTGTGCTGTGTTTGCCCCTCACTCTGGTGGTTGTGCTGCTGCCTCCAGGACCAAATCTGGCCCTGCTCTGCTGCTTCCATGAGGCCTGTGTCACCTTTGCCAGCATAGCCACAGCCATCAACATCCTAGTTATCAGCTTGGACCGATATGATATCTCCGTACGGCCTGCCAACAGACTGCTGACCACACGTAGAGCGTCGCTGCTCCTGGCTGCTGTTTGGGTCACCTCGGTGGCTGTGTTTTTTATCCCATTCTTGGAGGTGCAGTGGTTCAGTGGAGAAGGAGCAGAGGAGAGGGGGCAGGTGACACCCTTGTCCTCACGTGGTAACAGTGCCACAGTGGTGCCAGCATGGCGTAACCGGACACTGCTCTGTGTTGGTGGACAGGGCTACCACACAGGCCTTGGTATGTATTACCATCTTATCCTCCAGGTACCCATCTTCTTCACCACTGTGGCTGTCATGCTATTTACCTACTCCAGGATACTGAGGGCTTTAAACATCCGCATTGGCTCCCACATAAAGAAGAGCCAGCGGTTCAGGGGCCCCTCCTGCAGGGGGCGCCACAAGAAACAGAAAAAAAAGAAGGCAGGGGTCAGAATAAATGATGGTGGGGAGGTAGGAGGGGAGCAATGCACCACAGATGGTACCAAACAGCTCAGCCACCCTCCTCTCATCCCTTCCCCAACCCCGACCCCCACAGCTACCTCCCCCCCTGCCCTGTCCTCTTCCGCCCCACTCGTTACCTCTGACACGGGCGCTGCAACCCCCATGCCCGCCACCATGGGCGTCCAGGCCTCCGTATCGGCCATCATTGCTCTGAGGCGGGCAGTGCGACGGCACAGGGATCGACGAGAGCGACAGAGGCGGGTGTTCAGGATGTCCCTCATCATTATCACCACCTTCCTGGGCTGTTGGGCTCCCCTCTCTGTGACCAACATGCTAATCCTGGGCCTAGGCCCCAGCGACACCCTGGTCAGCCTACGCCTCTGGTTCTTAGCTCTGGCCTACGGTACCACCGTCTCCCACCCTCTGCTCTATGCCTTCACTCGACAGAAGCTGCGCCGTGCCCTCCGGGCCAAGGTTAAGAAGAGGGTGGTGTCCCTGCTCCAGGTAGACCCTTCTCCGGGGGGCACTGTCATACACAACTCCTGGGTGGAGAACAGAAAAACCAGCCGGCAGGTGCGGCTGGAAGCAAGCGAAGTTACTGACCGCTGCCTGGCAGAGGTCCTGTGAGACTGACACACGTGGGCCCTCCTAGTATAATTAAAAACAGGAATACAGACACAGGTGTGTTCCATTATAAAACTCACTGGTGTGTGAAGCCGGTGTAAGAAATGTGAAAAACATATTTCCTCCTCTGGGAGATGTTTTAACGTAACCATGCCATTGCTAAACACAACTAATGTTCACCTCAGGCAGCAGTGGGAGCAGGATGCTGTCGTCACTGTGGTGTGCACAGCCTCTGCAGCTGAAGAAAATCATACAACAACATACAAGTGTATGTGATTTTAACTCTGTTAAATAGTGATGTCTGTTTACATATGGAGTTGTATGATTAAGCGTTCTCATAGTGGTGCTTACCTAACTGCTCTCAAGAATGTGTTTAGCAAGCAGATAATCTGATCTGCCACCCGCTGAAATGCTCCAAGGCAGCTTTAAAGAAATGTTGATTCACTTCCAACAGACACAATAACTTCTCAAGAACTCCTTGAATGTATTTAATATTGTCTCTGCCTTAATTCTGCTCTGAAGGTTCTGCTAGATTGTATGTTATGTATTTTAAATACAAATATGTCAGACACTTGTATGATGGTGAGATGTAGATGTGTCAGGGTGAGAAGGCAAGGAACAAGTCAGAGAACAATTAAAGGCTAGTGTGAAATATTAAATGCAGTTTTGCTTTAGCTTAAGTAGTTATTAAACGTCTATGTTACAGTGTTTATAAAATCTTGCAAAGCTCCTTCATATAAATGCAGCTCTCTTGCTCCCCAATTTGTATAAAATGGTGTAATATCTTATTGATGTTTTGCATATACTGCTGGGAGAAGGTGAGTGCATTGTTTAAAGTAGTAGTTTGACGTTTTTGGAAAAAGGCTCATTTGCTTTCTTTCAGATAATTTAATGAAAAGATTGATGATGATTTGAATTTGGTGGTCAAAGGTCAAGGACATTGTGACCTCACAAAACAAAGTTTTTGGCCCTAACTCAAGAATTTATGACCATATTTCACAACTAAGATGCTAAACTATGCTATGTTAAGATAAGCTTACTACTTTATAGTGACTTTATATTTAGTGAATGGAGATGTGAGTGGTAGCTCAATTATCATTATCTAACTCTCGCAAGAAAGTAAATCAGTGTCTTTCTCAAACTATCTCAAAATATCTTAAAACTATTCCTTTAAATAATAAAGAAAAGTCAGCTGGCAATGCAGCTAATTTGGATGACACTGTAAAATGGAAGTGACAGACAAAATAACGAGAAAACCTTTCAATACAATGCAGTCCAGTACACTACATTGCATAAAAACTACAATCTCAAAAATAACCGTCATGTTCAATCAACGCCTCTCTGACAGTTTCTCAACAAAAAACCTGCAGCCTCATGAAATATAGTATTTACTGCAGGTCTACTGTTTTTGGACTGCATTATATTTAAGGCATCCCTGACATTCAGTTTTAGATTTTGGCCTGTTAAAAGCATGCAGTTCTCTTTTGAAATAACATCTGTGTACATACTGTAAATACTGACCAGATTCTCTACAGTAAAAGTCACTTGGTCTGTACGTGATTATAGACTGACTTTTAGAGGAATGTTTCAGTTGCAGCTGGCTCGTCTCTGTGTCAGCACCCAGACATCTGGTCCCGTGGGTCAACTCAACTGGCGAACACAAGAGAGTAATTGTGACTACACATTGGTGGGACTATTAACAAAACTAGAGTTTGCCGTTGACTTTGTACTTCCTTGTATGTTCACTGATCTGATGCTGCACTCACACTGGGACTCATTTCAGAGGCCATGTGTTTTCTCACACACACAGTCGATGTGTTCTTGAATGTAAACGTGAAAAAAAGATATATATTATACTGTAATTAGACCAAGGATATGCTGTCTTTATAGGTTTTCTTCATGGTGTTTTTATGTGAATGTGTCACCCTGCAATGTTGAATTATATCAATAAATATGAAATGCTGAGTTATGTATTTGCTGCCTTTGTTCTGTGCTTGTGTCTGCATGCATTCCTGCAAGCTGTCTGTGTTGAATGAAAAAGAAGTACTGTAGGCTATATCATGTACTGAAAAATACAAAGTATAAAGGCTGCAATAATATTTCTGAGCAAAAAGCCTGAGGCCAGGGGTTCCCAGGCTTTATCTGACTGAAAAGCTCTGGCCTCAGGTTTAGCTGTGATAATACCATTTTTCCTCATGAAGAATTTGACCTGCGATGAAACCTGCTGTGAGGGGAACAACAAGAGGACAATGTACAGCACTGTCCATATAGCTCACATGATAATTCCCTCTGTACTTGAAGGGACATATAGTGATACACTGCTGAGCTAAAGAACAGCAAGTCCTCCTGGATACAACCACACATTGTTGCATTGAATAAACATAGGCTAACATTTATTGCGTTTGTGGTTTGTGTTGAACAGAGACTGCATTTTGCATATGATGTACTGTTTGTGCACTTATAACAATCATAAAGCAGCCAATAATATAGTGAGTAGGTGGTGCAATTTTTATGTGTTAATTTTAGCATTGTCTTGTCACTGTTGTTGGCATGGTAAAACAAACTTCACTGCTGATGAGAACACATCCTCTGCTGTTTCAGTGGGTGCACCCATGTTCAGTATGGGTGCCCTCAGTAGGCACAGAGCACCTACAGTAGCCTACCTGGCACTGTTTATGTATCATGCTCCTCCCAGTGAGCTATACTGTACGCACTAGGTGAAAAGCTGCCAGCACGCTGTTTAAAAACTTTGCGTGGGCTTTGTGTTGCGTGGGAGGGAAGCGCAACAGACCTCTGCAGTATGGGAAAAAGAAGGTCATCTATGTGGGATGAAGCCTGCAGGACAAAGTAATTCTGCAACTCAAGCCTAGCGAAAACAGCTTCTTCTACTTTTGATTATGTGTACATCTTAATGTATTTCTTGTCAGGACCAAATGACATTTAAATACCAATCGCAGTTTTCGTAAAAAAAAAAAAAAGAAAAAAAGATATGATATATAATTTATTTAAAGGGGGACCTCTGCTGCTATAATGTGACATTACACTTTTGTACGTACGCCAGTCTACAATGAAGATCTAAAGGTTTCAGGTTCGAGCCCGGGTTCCGGCGGTGAAGGGGCCGTTTTTGAGTGCTTAGTCAACATAAGTGACTGATATGCTTTAGGATACAAATGGAAAAAGAGAGAGTAAAGTGCTTGATCTTTTCGTATGAGTTTACTGAGAAACACATTATATTATTATTACACTTAAATAACTCAAATGGAGGCAAACTACCCACATATACAGAAAAAACACAAAAACCTGCAGAATGTTTTACACTATAGTGAAATTGTTCATTTTTGTGAATGTAGCCTGAAGGATTTGCAGCATTCATTCATATGTTTAGGGACATTAAATATTATTGGGAAATACTTACGTTACTTCCCGGAAGAGTTTTAACTGGTTATTGGTTTATTACTGTATTCATCATTTTTCAAATGACATTTAAATACCAATCGCAGTTTT